GTGTGGGGGTGAGAGCGTGTGGGGGTGAGAGCGTGTGGGGGTGAGAGTGTGTGTGGGTGAGAGTGTGTGGGGGGGAGAGTGTGGGGGGGTGAGAGTGGGGGTGTGGGGGAACAGCGAGCTGAGAGTTTGCGAGTGGACGCTGCTGCAGCGCTGACTCACAGGTTCTTGTCTTTGGGAACCCAGGTCCCATCCAGCCGTTCGTGTACGATGACTGCAGGTCCACCATAATCTCCCGACAGCTTGGTGTTGTCCAGCTGGGGTGGGGGAGCACACACACACACACACAGAGTCACCGAGGTCCTGAGCACAACACCCCACCTCACTATGTCCCACTCCGGCAGCCCCATCCAGCCTTGTTCAAACCCAACTCAATGTTCCCAAACCTCCCAGACTGAGGGACAACCCCCCCACCCCCCGCCTCCCCCAACCCCATCTCTCTCTCTCTCCCTGTCCTTCACACACTTCCATTCTCTCCCTATCCCTCTCCCTCCCCCTATCCCTCACGCACTTCCATTCTCTCCCTCCCCCTATCCCTCACACACTTCCATTCTCTCCCTCCATCCCTCACTTCCATTCTCTCCCTCCCCCTCCCTCTATCCCTCACTCACTTCCATTCTCTCCCTCCCCATATCCCTCACGCACTTCCATTCTCTTTCTTCCCCTCCCTCTATCCCTCACGCACTTCCATTCTCTCCCTCCCCATCCCTCTATCTGTCACTCACTTCCATTCTCTCCCTCCCCATCCGTCTATCCCTCACTCACTTCCATTCCCTCCCTCTCCCTCCCCCTCCCCACTCCCATGGACTCTCCCCTTTCTCACTCACTGTCCTTCACTCCCAAGCTCTCTCCCCCTCTCTCTCTGTACCTGCTTCGCTATCCCATTTTGCCCTTTCTATCCTCCGCTCCCTCTCCCCTGCCAGCTCCCTCCATTCCCCTCTCCTTCAGCCCATGGTCTCCCCATCTCTTTCTCTCCCTCCCTCCCACCCCGATCCCCTCTCTTCCCCCTCCTCCCTGTCCTCCACCAACCTCCTTATGGGCTCTTCTTGTGTACGACCAAACCCAGAGTACCATGACCAGTGTCACTGCCCCCTCACAGGAGACGGTGCAGGGATCGATCCGGGAATGCCGATTCCCTGGGGAGCGCGACCCGTCCCGGCCTGGTGTCTCACTCCAGCTTCTCTGCTCCCGAGAGGGGTCGCTTCCCAACCCCTCTACACCCAATCAGTGACGGAAGATACTGAGCAGCGGTGGGTCATTCCAGCCCTCCTATCGATAGGAGGCCAACTCCCCCCTTTGCCGATCAGAAATCCTTCTACCTCAGCCCCCAACTGCTCACCTGGCCAAGGACACATGAGAGCCTCATTCCGACCCTAAATAATGATTCGTTATGTAGTGTCATTACTACTGTCACGAGGACCGGGATACAGTGAAAAGTATTGTTTTGTGTGCTCACCAGACAAATCATACCTTACGTTAAGTACTTCAGGGAAATAGAACAGATGCAGAACATAGTGTCACAGCGACAGAGAAAGATCAGCTCTGATATATCAGAGGTCTGCTCATAGTCTGATAACAGCGGGGAAGGAGCTGTTCTTAAATCTGTTAGCGAGGGGAAGGAGCTGT